CTTTCATTATTTTGGTTTAAATTTGAGATTTTACTACAGTGCAGTCTCGCTGAAAAGCTCGTGTCTTGAGATCTGTTGTTCATTCCACCAATGAAGCGCCTTCTATGTCTTTGTTCAGCGGCTATCACAAAAAACGTAAACATTCAATATGGCGGACGAAATGTGCATTTCTTCTTGTCGAGCCGTTTCTTTTAAATTTTGAAGCTAAATCGAGCACGTAGACAAAAAGATCAAAACGGTAAGACTTATTGAGGTAATTTTAATAAGTTCCTTAATTTAATAGTTGTATTAGACAAGGTTTATTACAAATAAAGCCAAGATATATCGGTAACATTTGTGCAGTGTTGTGGGCATATAAGTTATAATCACCTACGTGTACCGTGTTCAAGACCTGTGCATTATCGCTGTCTTTAACAGGAAATGTTTCGAAATCTTAGCTCATATTACTGATAAGATAAGAGACTTTATATTGGCGCAACTTTTGAAATTCATTCAGTGAAAAGCGCGCGTTCGTCGAGTAACTGTTCAGGTCTATACACAGATAAAAATACATTTAAAGCGAATTTCTTCCTTTTTGATTGTCATAATATACACAAATCAATGTCTGGAGGCTTTTGTTGTCCATCTACTTGTGGTTTTGCCAAAGTAGCAGCAGTAACTGCTTCAAAGAAAGCAAAAGAGCAGATAAAGAGATGTAATGGCGCCAAATCTGACGAGGTACGAGRACGGTACAATTTCTTTTGCCAAGTGTTTCAAGACAGCTCAAGCTCCTTTAATATCGACATAAACACATTTAACAAGCGATTCTTGGCTCTTGAAAGTGTGGTAAAGAAATGGAATCCACGAAAGAAGCTAGAGAAGAAACTATACTTTGAAGGATTCTCAATCGATCGTTGGCTTTCCCTCTCAAATGCCAGAAAACAGCAACATTCATTTACTAATTGTAAAGGCTGCTTCCAGAATTTTGCTGATATAAGAGCATTGTTTCCCGTAAAGAATCCTCGCCTGAAAGTTAAAGGGAAAGAAAACCCATTTAGATTGATTACAGACCTACATGTACATGTAACCMMAAGCAGTGACAACACAATCAAGCCCAAACAGGAAATAGTTACAAATGCAGCTAGGAAACTTTTTCAAGAGATCAATCCTATTTTCAATAAGTGGGCTGGGTGTTCTCTTGGTCAAGCTTTGTCAAAAGTCCMAGAAGCAAATGTTGAAGTGAAAAAATCCAAAACTGAGAGAAAAAAGATCCACAGAAATTTAATGAGAACAGCAAGAAATACAGTTGAATCTCAGTGGAAAAAAACATCAATGCAAAGGTAAAATTGAAATTACATTTCATAAGTTGGTATTAAAATAATATATATTAAATATAAAAATATGGTTTGCATTTACCTATTTCATGTTTATTCATGATTTTGCCATGCTTTGCAGCATACTGAAAAGTAAAAAGAATAAAGTTATAATACAAAAATTAAACCAACAGACAACAATTCTTTCATGAAATGTTATTCCATTTTTCTTAATTATTAATTAAATTTATAATTATTATTTATATAGATGCTTTGGAAATCGCCAGTCATATGCTTCTCGACAAAGGGAGAGACTTGCCTCCTGCTATGAATCAAAAAAACAAGCAAAAGAGAGACATATCAGCCAGAGAAAAAGTGAAAAAAAGAAAAAACACACAGGGCCAGCAAACACACAATGTATCGACATCAAAGCCCTAACTGCAGAAGTTAAAGCACAGCAAGAGGGCACAATTATCAATTGGAGTGACTTAGCAAGGAAGTACAACATTKTAAATAAAAGAAGATCACCGGCAAAGAATGGGGGGCAAGTTATTCAAGACATACTTCTAAGCCAAGAGGTCGATGTCAACAAATATAAGAAGCCCACTAATGAACGCATTAGAAGAAAAAAATTAAAAGGAAGTGGAGGAGAGATTTCTGTGCCGACACCAGAATCCAATGGCTCTATAAAAAGGACTCTTRAAGCAAAGATCGAAGAAGGCGAAATCAAAATAGGTGAATTAATAGTTCCCAAGAGATTTAAAAAGCTAATTCTAGACAAAGATAACAAAGAAATAAGGGTCACAGAATTCACTGTAGAGGGAAGGAAAATTCCATTAGAAGACATCAGGAAAGATACATTGGAGAAGAGTAGATGTTTTATGCGGTATCAATCTGATGAATTCTACAATGAAATGAGAGAAGAAGATGTCATACAGAGACTCAAATACCTTCTTGGAGAATTTAATCCAGTTGAAGAACTCTCAATTTTAGAGCTGAAGGAAAAACTTAAATGTCTAGAAAGAACCAGACACTTGATGATATGGCATGACCATTCCACAATAGCCAACCATGGCCATCTTCTCTTCCTGGTGTCCATTTTGTATGATCCTGCCATCCACTTGACATCTGAGGAATATAAAGAAAAGACTGGTCAAGAAGTTAACATCCAGGAAGAAGTAGAACGCCCTCAGCTATATATTATTGCAAGGTAACTTGAAAATTATATGCATTTCACAATACACACCTACTTGCAATTGTTAGTTGTATTAAGTAAAAAGGAATATTTTAATTTAAAAAAGACAAAAGAAACACTCAACCTCAATGATCTCTTATTGCCATTTTTTTAATATATTCCTTTTTAATAAGTAATAATATTTTACTAAAATATAAATGGTCTATTTTCTATGACGTTTTTCACAAGTAGGTGTGTNAGAATGTCTGTCCTTTCACTTCAACAACGTCAGAAGCTAATAACAGATGGCCCCATTACCTTAAAAAATTCCCTGTTAAAGAAGGCAAATCCCTGCTCTGGCCTATCAAAGGAAGATCTACAAAAAGAGCTTAGTTCCAGACGAATACAGTGTCCCAAGGATGACAAGGACAGCCTTCAAAAGGAAGTAACCCATCACCTACATGGCCAAAAAAGAGTCCCTGCCCTTCTCTACKTCTCCCCAACAGCCACATTGGAGGAGCTTAATATCATAGGATATGAAGTTCTTCCATGTGAGCCAATGCACGATCTGGCTGGTCACATAAGCAATGTCCTACAAGAACTACCACATCACTTSACAGAAACTGAAGGCGAATTGTTGAAGGAAACAGTCAAACTGTCGACTGAGGGAAAAGAAAAGAAACGAGCATGTGACCAYCGGTATTCAATAATTGCTGTATCGTCACGCATGAGAGGGCATGTGACACGGAAAGTCCAGCAATTAATCGACACCCTTGTTGATATGCAACAAATCCTCTACCAAGGTGAAGATGAACGCTGCCCAAGAATGGTCCTCAGGTACTACAACCAGAGTTTTCTGCATGCCATTCTTTGTTTTGAAGTTTTGGGATTTAAACCAAAAACAATGACATGCAGGAAATTATATGGCAAGTACTTCCACAACTTAATAACCCATGCACCCCTACAACTGAGGCTCATTTCTGGACAAGCTGTAAATGCTGAGGATGAGGAAAGGCTTTTCAGCTCAATAAACAGCATAACTAAGGCAACCTCTTCTAAGCGCCCTGCTCATTTAATTGGGAATGCCATAGTGCGGKTGCAAGCTGAGGAGCAGCTTAGGTTATTTAATGAAGGAACAAGAAGCCAAGAAATGCCGAATAAAATCAAGCGCCTTGCCCTCAGTCTACCCACCTTTCTTGATACCCTCTTTCCATCACATATACTACACAACTACCACAAAGAATGMCAAGCTCACCTTGAGCGCATTGGTGATTTTCTTCTTGCTGGTCCAGCTGAAAGTGGAGGGTGGTGGGAGTTTGATGGATCAAATGTCATCTTTTTAGATTCTTCAAACCAACCAAAGACAAGACAAGATGGTCCAGACCTTAGCCATTTCAGATACTCAACTATGGAGCGTGAAGAAGGCATTTTGGGAGCATATTGGGAGCACATAATCGAAGAATCAATCTCTGTTCCAGCGCACTACCTGAGTTTCCCTTGTCCTGATAATCCAGCAGCTACCAGGAAAACAAAAACAGGATTTTTACAAAAAGAAGATTGTGCTACGCAAAATGACAATGTTGTAGACAATGACATAGACAATGTTGTAGACAATGACATAGACAATGATGTAGACAATGACATTGGCAATGACTTAGACAGTGGTATGGACAATGATGTAGACAATGGTATGGACAATAATGTAGATGGTATCGACGCTGAATCATGTTATAATATTGAAACAGAGCCCAAGGTTGAACAACTATTAGAGATAAATGCAGTGAATCTGGATGACAATAATGATGTGAATAATAGAGTAACCATTTTCCAAGATCAAACTGATATCGTACAAGGCAATAGCACAAATGTTAATTCTCTAAACCAAATTCCACCATTGTCTGATATTAAACCTTCCTGCTCCCCCACATATGATTTYTCTACACCTAAAGAAAATACTAAAGATACTTTTGAGAAAACTGAACACTCTGATAACTCTAGAAAGAAGCATGAAGAAAATTATGAATTTCAAACACGATTGGCCACTGCTGTTTCTAATGTACTTGGAAATACTAGTGAAGTGATAAAACTTGACCGTCTAAAAAAGAAGTCCAACAATAGCTCTTACGACAACGAACAGTATATAAACTGTTTGGCATCTATACAAGCCAAGGTGCTTGCAGAGGAATCAAAATTGGAGAGAAAATTTAAGGAATGGGAGCAACAGTACTTTGTAAATCATAACCTCACTTCCCCAAGCATTGAAGATATTAACNAAGATCAAACTGATATCGTACAAGGCAATAGCACAAATGTTAATTCTCTAAACCAAATTCCACCATTGTCTGATATTAAACCTTCCTGCTCCCCCACATATGATTTYTCTACACCTAAAGAAAATACTAAAGATACTTTTGAGAAAACTGAACACTCTGATAACTCTAGAAAGAAGCATGAAGAAAATTATGAATTTCAAACACGATTGGCCACTGCTGTTTCTAATGTACTTGGAAATACTAGTGAAGTGATAAAACTTGACCGTCTAAAAAAGAAGTCCAACAATAGCTCTTACGACAACGAACAGTATATAAACTGTTTGGCATCTATACAAGCCAAGGTGCTTGCAGAGGAATCAAAATTGGAGAGAAAATTTAAGGAATGGGAGCAACAGTACTTTGTAAATCATAACCTCACTTCCCCAAGCATTGAAGATATTAACAGAGACAGGTACTCATCGGGTGTATATAAAAAACTGAAACATGGCAAGGCTTTGCTTAAACATTGGAAAATAAATTTCTAGTTTTAATAAGTTGTGGGTTATACAATGTAGTACAAACACAAAAAACACCAGCACTAGAGTACAAGTATTTAAAAAAAATGTGTTCAACATATAATTAATAATTTGGCTAATCTATTTTCTTGAACATAGAAGTTTCGATCTCGATCTATTTAGTCAATTCATTATGTGTGTATTTTTGTCATACGGCGCGTGCAGTACTAACAAAAGGTATTTATAAGTATTAACTCGGTTATGTAAACACAACAGTGTCGCCGGATACTATAACTACAGTGTTTGTACTCCAAATAACCTACACGCTTTTGATAATGTATATATTCTATTATGCAAAAAGAACATTTCTTTATAACGAACTTGCACTTAAGATAAAATTAACTGAAGCACCGTAAGTTTATATCGAAATGAGRGAGCTTAAGCTTAAGTTATTGACCTACATCGAATGTGTTGATATTAAAATCAGTCATTGTTTGGAGGAATATTACTCTCAATAACTTTACTAGAATGTATTAAGTGTATGAAAACGTGTACATATGTATTGTAATTATCAACTGAATCGACTTACCTTGTAAATATTCAAAGAAAAACGTAGAAAAGAGGCAATCAAAGCCCAGAATAAATACTTTTTGATCCAAATGGTTCATCGATGCGACGCCACGCTCNAACGATAGGCAAAAGCGTAAGAGAAGACAGAGAGCCGAATTAAAGTTACAAACCATAAAAGCAGAGGCTTCTCGAAGACACGAAGAACAAATAAAATTGACCGACAAATTCAGGGAAACGGCACGTCAATTTTGTAGGAAGTGGAAATCGAAGTGCGAAGAAAACTTAAAACTTAAAGAATTACTGAATAGGAATCAAAAAAAGGTGAGAAACAGACGCGCTGTTATAGGACTTATAGACATGATATTCAAGACATTTATCCAGTAATCTTACAGTGTAAAGTTGTTATATGCACTAAATATTCACAAATTTGGTACAATAGTTCATTTTTAAAATACAATAACATGTATTTAATCTGTTAGTGTATCAAGAATCATTGAGTCTTTTATGATTTATTTATCATGTTTATTATTTGATATTTCCCTGCTAGCAGAGGCTTACATAATTACATTAAGGCTTACATTAAGCCTCTGCTAGCAGGGAAATTTGATATATACATTACACTTTAATATTGCAATGGTAGTTAAAACTATTCCCTAAAGTATATCCTAATTCTCTAATAACAATATTCACTACTTTTAAACAGATAAAAAAGATGACAGTAACTTCAAACCATGGAAATGGGGCTAACCAAATAAGTCCAAGGGAGCTTATTTTGGATGGTCAGTCAATATGTCTTGGCAGTGGCTCTTACGGTAGATGTTACCTCAAAACATACACAAGGCTAGGGATTCAGATAGTTGAAAAGCAAATATGTGATTCATCATTACCTGATATCATGAAGGAAGTACAAATAATGCAAATTCTTGTACATGCAAATATCCCCACAGTTATTGGGATCCAATGTGAGGCAAAGCCCTTTTCCATTATAATGGAATAYATTGGTGATGGCAATTCCTCAACCACTCTAGATAAACTTATAAAACTACGATCTAAGCTTGGGTGTAAGGACTGGCTATCRATATTATATAATGTAACCGATGCACTGCATTACATGCACAYCAAAGGATTTCTCCACTGCGACTTAAAAACAAACAACATTGTTGTTTGTAACAACAAAGGTTATTTGATTGATTTTGGCAAAACTCGTCCAATAACAAGTCTTGCTGCTAAGAAGTATACTTTGCATTATCCACATATTGCTCCTGAAGTATTAAACGGATCACCATGCACAATACAAAGCGATACATATTCTTTGGGACTTGTATTCTCCAAAATTGGATTAAGTCAGAATATTGAATTTATAAAGAAAATTGCTGACAATTGCCTTAATGGTAATCCATCCCAAAGATCATTACCAATCGGAATTCTTGCTGAACTTGCAACTAATATGTAGGCAAATAGTAATAGTTTCATTTTTGGCATATTTTCTTGTATTGTTCAAAGCTATTGTCCTGCTGTCAAGATGCTTCGTCTTTAAACGGCAAGCTGTCAGGATGCTTCGTCCTTTGGCATTTAGCTTGAACTCTGAAAAAATCCACCAGTCCATTTATATTAATATCAAAATAGGCTCGATTTGCATTAGTATTCAAAACAAATAAATGAATATTATTATTTGCTATTTGCACTCTATATGTAAGGTCAAGATGATCTAACAGAAAAAGCTAAATCTCTTTCTACTATTAGCAAAATCATATATAGTAAATTGTACAAAATATGTTACGATATATAGGTGTAATCCTGAAAGTAAAATAAATTCGTATTTTTCATGTCGGGGTCTTCAAAAGGATCCTGACGCCACTGTTGTTGTTGCTTAAGGGGAAGAGGGTTTATAAATCGGTCACAGTTGGTCAGCTAATAGTAATCAATTTCATAAAGGATTKCGAGATTGTATTTTACAGTATCATTATTCAGGAAAAAACTTCATTACTGTGGTCAAGATGATTCGTCTTTTAACCACATACTGTCAGGACGCTTCGTCCTTGGGCAGGAAARTTRATATTCTGAATAAATATTCACATTTGATAATCTACTAAATGTCCGTTAGTATTTGATTTACTTAAATATTAGCTTTCCAACTGGTATATATTAGTGTAARGGCAGATGATAGGGATGAAACCTACGAAAAGATAACTGCTAAGAATTTTAAAATATTAAGCTATCGGATCCCGGGACGATATTCAATGCAAGTCGCTTCTTTCTATTTATCTACAGATAATATATTACAGTCATAATATATCCAGTCCTTATACGGTACTCACTTTTGAAGAAAATAACCACCAATGTCAACTTCAAAATYTTCCATTCTTCTCTTGATTGTCATTTTTTAAATGTATCCGAAGACCAAACACTTTAAATGTTGTGTCGTGCCTGAAGCGTCGATTGCGAAGATACGCGGTAATTTGAGATGAGAAAGGTCATGTAGGCATAGCAACTGAAAACTTTGCTGGGGGCCCGATTAGAAGGATGACCCAGGCCTTAAGTCACTTGAGTAGGGTTAGGGTTAGGGTTAGGGTTAGCAAAAGCCCATACTTGGCCTTGTAAGTTACAAGGGGTTTGTGAGATGAAAATGGCTTTTTTCAATTTTTTCTTAAATGACCCAGAGCATTGCAATGTTGGGTTAGTTGGGATCGCCTAAGTGTGTGGACTACGAAATGATGTTGGGTGCGGTCATAAACCACGCCCCTTTGCAATT